AATAACAATGGACCTTCTAATTTATTTATTGTCTTACTATGGCGAGGTCATGTATTACTTTAGTTTCTAAATATTTTATTACTGCACCAGCTTTAATAATGTATATTCCTTCTGTATTTTTGAATCCCCAATAGTGAAATTTTTATATAAAAGAAGAATGTTTCTGAAAAACTGTTTCTTAGTTTGGGGTATGTAAGCTTACTTGAAAAATATTTGAACAACTACTGTGTTGCAGGAACTACTGTATTTTGGGAACATATAGTAATGAGCAATAGAAGTAAGTCCACACCTACCTTCCTGGAATTTACATTCCTACTAGGGAAGATGGATAACAAAGAAATAAATATGTAATGTAAATTAAAGTAATGATAAAATAAACAAGCTCTAATAAGAGGATGTGGAGTGTGATATTGACGGATGGGAATGTTTAGACCCTGTGGTCAGGGGAGCCATCTAAGAGGAGTTGGGTTTTGAGCAGAGATCTGAATGATGAGAGGAAATAGACCATATAAGCAGCATATATTTTTGAGTGCATATTTACTGTACTCAGAAAGATAAAACATCAAGAAATTTGTCAATCACATACTTTTCTATTGATTTTTAGTCATTCAGTCACTCTGTGTCTTACTTGGGGGAATTTAATCCATTTAAATTTAACATAATTATTTGTAAGTAAGGTCTTACTACTGACATTTTATAACCCAGTTTATAGTTTTTTTTTTTTTTTTTAGTTTCTTTCTTCCTCTTTTATAGTCTTCCTTTGTAGTTAAGTGATTTTTCTCTGGGTAGTGTGTTTTGATTCCTTGTTTACTATTTTTGGTCTGCTATAGGTTTCTGCTTTGTTGTTACCATAGGCTTACAAAAAAAATCTCTTTTATTTGTAACAAGACATTTTGAAATGATAACAACTTATTCATTGATCATAAAGATAAGAAAAAAATAGAAAAGGTACTGAAGAACCTGTACATGTACACTTCATTTTCCCTACATTTTGAACTTTTGATCTTCTGTTTTGCATCTTTCTATGTGGCTTCTTAACATATTAATGTCATTATTTTTAATTGTTTTGTTTTCAGTCTTTGTACTAAAGATCAAGAAGGTTTATATACCGTGCTTACAATATTAGGTAATTCTGAATCTGCCTTTATAGTGAGTTTTATACCTTTCCTTTGTCATACCTTGAGGGACACATCTGGCAGTGATAATCTCTCAGCTTATTTGTCTGGAAATATCTTTATCTCTGTTTTCTATCTGAATCAAACAGTATTTGTTGGCATGTTTCTTTTCCCCCTCAGCATGTGAAAATTCCATCCTATTACCTTCTGCCCTGTATGAAGTCTATTGTTAGGCAGTTGGAACACTCTTCTACGTATTTTTTTTTCTGGTCTTCTTTCTGCTTGGAGAATCCTCTGTTTGTATGTTACCTTTGAAAGCTTGGTTATAATATGTCTTGGGACAGACTTGAGTGAGTTGAATCTGATGGTGACCTTTGACCTTCATATACCTATGTATTTGTATCTTTTTCAGATTTTGGAAGTCTTCTGTTATTATCTCTTCTTTATGCAACTATTTTTGGAAATAAGCTTTATACCCCTTTGCATTTTTAAGTACCTTTTGAACCTTAGTAACCCAAATATCTGTTCTTTTAAGGTTATGATGTTCCTGCAATCTTTCTTAATTCCACTTCATTCTTCTTTTTCTCCTCCAACAGTATATCTGTGTATTTCAAATTTAGTGGTTTTTTCTTAAGCTTACCGATTCATCTGTTTGATCTATTAATCACATTTTTTATTTCAATTAGTTCACTTTTCTGCTCAAGGAAATGTTTTTCTGGATTTACTTGAAATTCATTGAGTTTCTTTAAAATATCTATTTTAAATTCTCTGAGAGTTCATACACATCAGTTGCTTTATGGTCAGTTATTGGCACCTTGTTTTGTCTGTTAAGCATGGTCATAGTTCTCTGGGAATTCTTGATGCTTGTTGGCAGACAAGGATGTTGCAATTAGAAGGGTTGGTTAGGTATTTATTCTAGTCTTCATTAACTGGCTTTGTTTGTGCTTGTCTTTATAGAAATTCTAAGCAGGCTGCTTATTTGAGCCTGTGATTATTTACTCGCTTCCAGCATCAATGTCCTAGGTTTCCTAGAAGTCCATAGTTGACACATTGTCACTGTGTCAGCACTAAAGGCACTTCAGGCCCAAGTTGATCACATTCACTATTGTGTTGCTCAGAATGGACTGAACGAATGTCTAAATAGGGTAGTTCATTCCTGCAAGTCTCTCCCTAGAGCCAAAGTGAGCCCAGACACTCTATTCACTGTCATTGGCCTGTGGTTAGATACCACAGTTTCTGCCTGATACTGGGCTTCACTATGCAGGGACTGGCTATAGGCCCCTTTGCCACTTGGTAATTACTTACTTCTTCTTCCCCAAACAGATAAGGCTAAGTTGTGCTGCTTGGGATTGAGTGAGGAATGGAGTAGGTGGTCCTGTAGTCATTGATGTCACCATGCTTGTGTTAAACCTGGAGTCTATAGGACCAGTGCAGCAGAGGATCCAGGGCCATGCTGCTTTGCCCTGTGTGTCACTTGCAGTGTATTAATGGCTCGAGGCTACTGCAATCAGCCAGTGATGATGTTGGCCACAATACATGTCCCACCATGGCCTGAGGTCTCTCACACTAGGACAAACTCAGAGGCTTTGTCTATAGGTATTTTCCTGAGTCTGGGGATGGTTGGAGTCTGCCCGCCACTTTGATTTCACCAGCTGGGCATGAGTTCTAAGACAAAACCTTTTTCTTACTTCCCTGTCTTACCCTATAAGAGGGGGAGTGTTTCTCCCATACAGTGCTGCCCGAAGCTGAGGGAGGATGGTAGAAACAGTCCTTTGCTGCCAGACTAACCTAGGTCCAGAGGCTGTGTCTGTGAGCACTGGCCAGGGGCCAAGGGCCCTGGGGCTCTGAAGAGCTAGATTTCACATTGGCAATTCTAGTACTGGATTCAAAACCCAAGGCTTAAATGTAATTTCTTCCCCTTCCCTCAACTGGAGGAGTGTCTTTCCACATAGTCTCTCTCTCCACTGCTTGAAGATGGAGGAGGGGAGTCCCTGAAAATTTTTCCTTTCTGCATTCTTCAATGCGTCTTTTCCTATTATTATACTAAATCCAGGGCTTGCAATTTCTTACCTGGTTTCGCTAGTTCTTGCAAAGGTAGTTTTGTGTGTGGATAGCTTCAAAGTGATGCTTCTCTGGGAGATGTTATTCTGTTATCATCATGCTCCTCTTTAGTATGGACATTTGTTAAACTAGAAGGCAGTATTAAGGTATGTGTTAATATAGCACCCTGCAAACATCTTGGGGTTCTTAACAAGTAAAATATATCAAAATAGGTAGTTATGTGATATTAGCCATTTATAATAATGGGGCACTATTACAAAAAATGATGTTTTGTAATAGTGCCCCATTATAATTAAAGCATTATTTCATTAACCCCTAAAGTATTCATTATTTTAAAAATATAAACTCTCCTTCTTTTTCTCTTTTCTGTAAACTTGAAATTCCATTTTTGTTAGATGGTTCTTCTATCATTTAGTTGTTCCCATTGCTTCTGTTCATCTTTAGTCTTTATTAATAGCAACAATGGTAGAATAGTGATGTTAGTTCTGTGATTAATTTTTTAAAATTTTTAAATATGAATATTCAAAGATTTAAAGATGCAGTTGAGAAATTTCAGCTGCATTTCTACTCAGTTTTAGAAAGATATCATCTATCTTAAAAGTTGTCCTGTACTGGAATCAAAACTTCTACCTTTCTGCAGGAAAACAGACTAAATGTTTATAAAATAATAGCTTTCATTTGTGAAATTAAAATCTGTTATACTCTGAGGAGAACAACTGTTGTTGAAGACCCAAATGATATATCCAAAATAGTATATTAAGGATCATAAGTTGCTTTGCTTTCTTGATTTTCTACTAGTTTCATTAAATGGGATTTGGTTCATGAAGTTACAAAATAAAACTTTATTTTTTCCCACACTCCGTTTAGAGGAGTTGTTTTCAAATGATTAGATAATGCAGGATATAAATGATCACCACCTGATATTCTGCTTTATTACACAAAGCCTATGGTTACTAAACACTGTGTTACTGACTATTAGGTGGATAAAGTACTGTCCCCTTTTCGAAAGAGCTTCCTGGTAATGATCTCTTGCATCTAAAGTCAGAGACTGGAGGTGTGTTCTCTTCTGGCTAAACTCAAGTACTTTTAAAATTTTTACAGTTCTAAAACAGCAAGTCATTATTCATAGCCTGACCAGATTTGAAGAAAGCAGATTTGGTAAATTAAGGATTTAGAAGGGGGCAGCAGTCATTGCCATTCATGGCTTCCAGGAGATAAATAACAGTGCTCAGTGAGCTGTCTTTATTCTTAAAATGATGGGATCAAAAAACTTATAGCCACTGGCATACTGACATGAGTTTCATAACTCCAGGCACCTCCAAAGTTTTATTTTAGCTTTTAATTCCAACTCTGATTATCTTCCAAAACTTCTAAAAATGGAGCATTTTAATTTGTCTCCACTCCATATATTTCTGATGTTCTGTCAAAAATATTTATAACCAGAGAAGTATTCCAAAAGCTGGAAGCAGTCAGCAGTAAGAAGAAGCCTGCGTTTCTAAGCTAGATCATCAGTCCCTGTAACAATTTAAATGCATTAGGCTTTTTTCAGGAGGATGAGGCTGGAGGATAACTTTAATCCAAAGGCTAGAATTTCTAAGGTAAAATTATAACTTTGGATCATCTGATTCACTATTACATATTTTAACCACCCTCATGATTTGTTAGGTTGACCAGTATGGTACATGCATATAAAATCATGTTTATCATAAGTGAATACCAGGTGCCAGATACTCTTTTTAGGCATTAACCCATGTAAATTTATAAAATCATCTCTCAAATATTTTGGGGGATATTTGTTTTATTTCCTTCATTCTTCTTTTTCAGCTCTTCTTTATGCAACTATTTTTGGAAATGTCACCACAATTTTTCAGCAAATGTATGCCAACACCAACCGATACCACGAGATGCTGAATAATGTTCGGGACTTTCTGAAGCTCTATCAGGTCCCAAAAGGCCTTAGTGAACGAGTCATGGATTATATTGTTTCAACATGGTCCATGTCAAAAGGAATTGACACAGAAAAGGTATGGGTTATTATTATTGTTGTTATTAATTTTCTATTTAATAGGATCTTTGATGAACATAACTTTTCTATCCACAGGTTGTTTGTATGATTGCTTTGTAAATGTTACTATGTGTTTTGTGACATTTCAATTCATCATATTTATTTTGATAACTTTAAAGGAACAGAGGACTCAACTATTAATCATTAATTCGTTTTAGTCATGATACTTAATTTATGAAATTTGTTTCCTGAAAATAACTAATTATTCCATTTCACTAGAATGCTCTTATTACCACTCAATGTAATTTGCTTCATTCCTCTTAAACCCTCAGAGTGCTGTCATTTCTGCTGCTAGATTTTACTCTGATTTCTTCTTTGGCTTTTTTGTCCATTTAAAAATTATTAACGTCTCTGCTATAAACAAAGAAAAAATGATGTTTTTGTCCATGCTACCCTCCAGTTATTATTTTTTTCTTTGCAGATGTTATATAAAGTAAGTTGAAAGTTTTTATTTTCCACTTTGGTTTACAAGAGATGCCTCCCTTTAAACAAGGGATGGCTCCCTATCCAATCATCTGACAACTGTGATTTCTTAATTGTCTTTTCATAGAACTGCTTTTAATTTTTTCTGTTGATTTCATATTTGGGCAAACAAGGACCCAAAGTTCTCCTTATAATAAACAAAATAATTTTTAAAAATTCTCACTTCCTATACCTAGCTGATTCACATCAAACATCGGGCATGACAAATACAATATGTATGTAATTTTAGAGGATGCCCACTTGAGCTATTTAACTTTACAAATTTTAGTGAAGACTTCCTGTTAGGTACTGATTTTTTAACATGTGATAGTCAAATAGCACAATAACTTCCTGGCCATTTTCTTCAAATTACTTTTGTGTTGTTGTTGTTGTTGTTGTTTTTAAACCACCCCAAGACCTGTGCAATAAGCATTTTTTTTTTTAACATAGAAGAGAAAGCACTTTGACTACAGTAGATGTTTAGTTAGGGGAATTTTGTGAAACAAATAAGTAGTTTTAAGCTAGAGCAGGTGTTGTTATGATCAAATAGTTGAAGGGAAGATTGGGGAGTGGATATGGAATGTAACAGTTGAGGCAGAGGCACCTTCAGAAAGAGTACATGTGAGAGATAATCAGGGGTAATTATAGGAAGGAATTGAGGAATTGTTGATCTAATCTTCTTTCAACCTTTTTCAAGATGCAATATAGATTTTCTAGTTAAATGGCCATATAATAGTATTCATGACTATGGAGGGAAAAGCAGCATTTCTATGGAATTTGATTAATATATACCTGAGTCAATATATGAAAAGTCTCCAGAGGAGAAAGAAGATCTTCATCAGGGTGAGGATGAGAGAAATAGAATTAAAGTTATCCAATGCAGGAGGTCCTTTGAAGTCTGCATTAAGTTAAATAGATCCAGAGGCAACCCCTGCCTTGATAATCACTATCTTAGTGAGATGTTTTTCTTTCCAGAAACACAATGGGGTCGCTCAGTAGCTAACAGAAAACATCAATGAAATGATGTCATCATGACCTTATGCATATTAAAAAAGGACTTGGCCTAGGGCCTGTGCTTACAAGGCAGATTTTGTTCTCTGTATTCCCAGATATTGGGGTGGTTCAGAAATGGAGCTGACTATTTTCTCTAAATGCCTGCCTTTGAGGACATGCTCACCTGTCTGATTCACATGTAGTTAGGGTGTCATGCACTGACATGGACTGCGTCTGCAGGTGCCTGTGCTATGTGACAGAAAACAATTTCTAAGTCTAATATCAAAGGTAAAATAAAAATCTAATTAAAATGACATATTTTTGAAGAGATATTTAAAATATTAAATGGATTAGCCTTTGTTTTGGAAAATATTTCGAGTGGTAATTTCTTACGGTTATATTTTTCTTTTTCTCTTTTTGCCTATTTAAAAAATTAACGCCTAATAATTATACATGATTACGGGGTACAGTGTGACAGTTCAATACATCTGTACAATGTGTATTGATCAGCATTTTCATTTCTTTGTGTTTAAAAATATGAATATGTTCTTTTCTAGTTATTCATAAAATATATATAGTGGGCTATTGTGAACTTTCACTGCCCTACTGTGTGTGGAACAGTAGAACTTATTCCTTCTAACTGCGCTTGTGATCTGAATAGGCATTTTTCAGAAGAAAAATACAAATGGTCAATAAATATATGAAAAAATGCTCAATGTCATTAGCTGTCAGGAGAATGCAAATCAGACCTATAGATCTTCTCACCCTGGTTAGAATGGCTGTTATCAAAAAAATCAAAAAGCAACAAATGATAGTAAAGATGTGGTGAAAAGGGAAATCTTATTATACACTGTTGGTGGGCATGTAAATTAGCATAGCTGTTATGGAGAGCACTATGGAGTTTCCTCAAAAAATTAAAAACAGATCTACCATAGGATATTATATATAAACCACTTCTGGATATATATGATATGAAATCAAATCAATATAATAAAGAAATATTTGCACTCCATGTTTATTGCAAGACTATCCACAATAGCCAAGACATGGAATCATTGTAGGTGTACATGCACAGATGAATGAAAAGAAGATGCAGCATATGTACACAATACAGGATATTATCCACTCACAAAAATTTATATCTTGTCATGTGCAAAAAATAAACTGGAGGACATGATATTAAGTGAAATGAGGCAAATTTGAATTTAAGAGTAGTGAGTACTAGAAGATGTGGGGGAGGGGAAGGGAACATGGTTAGAGGGAGATTGGATAGCAGGTACCACAAAACACTTACAAGGGTTTTTTTTTTTTTAACCAATAAAAAAAGCAGATTTAAGTAACTGTGACAAATATAAAAGTTTTATTATATGTGTATAAAACACATTCCATGATTATTGATTTTTATATTTCATGTATGAAGAAAATTTCCACCCAGATGCATAAAAACTAGTGTAATAGCACTGTACGTGGAGAGAAGAAAGAAAAGACATTGCTTTGATCCTGCAGTTGGGGTGTAGGAGTTCCTAGTAATTACACCCTCAATGACACTAAATTTAAAAATGATTTTCAGACTGCAAACTATATGCTATATGGAACAAGAAGGGAAAAAAATTGACATCCAACTCTCTGATTTAGTGAGCAACTAACAACAGAGCAGAAGACTCGCATGTCTGTTAGATATTCAGTAATTGAACAAGTATATAGTATATATAATATATAACTTTACAATAATAAAGTGTTAAGGTTACAAACAAAATAATTAGCAAACAAAACAAAGAGAATAAATATCTAAGACTAGACCTAACTCTAGATGAGACATGAATATAAATTAAAAGACAAACAGCAAAGCTATAATTGATATATTATGTAATATGATTATAAAATGAACTACAAATCTTATATTTATAAACATCTTCCTCCTAGCCTAACATAAATATCAGAACTAAAAGTCAAATGTAAAAAATAAGAAACAATTAACTGTTAAATATGCAGATATATTTGACTTATTTTTATACATGTTAAAGTAATACATAACAATGTAACTGATAAAGAGGTTTGACTCACAAAATGTGAAACCTCTCACATTAGAAAACCAGGAAAATAAAAATGAGATAAAGGATTTGCAGCAAATATCACAAGTGAAAGATTCATTATCTTAATATGTAAAGTGATTTTATAAATTAATAAGAATTAGATCACTTGGGGAGAAAAAATGAGCAAAAGATACAAATAATTTATAAAGACAAAAATACAGGTCATTAATAAACATACAAAAGTGTTTATTTTCATTTGTAACAGTAAAAATTAAAATATAAAGAAACCATTTTAATGTCAAATGCACCAAGATAATGCCAGTCTTAGCAAAGGATATCGTGACTGTCTCTGTATTTATTATATAACTCTAGAAGGTGGAGTATTTCTTTCTTTCTTTTTTTTTTTTTGAGAGAGAGAGAGAGAGAGAGAGAGAGAGAGAGAGAATTTTTAAATATTTTTTGTTTTCGATGGACACAACATTTTTATTTTATTTTTATGTGGTGCTGAGGATCGAACCCAGCGCCCCGCGCATGCCAGGCGAGTGCGCTACCTCTTGAGCCACATCCCCAGCCCAACATTCATGAATTTTGTAGTAAAGTTTTCTTTCTAACTAATCATATATTCATTTGTGCTGTAGGTGTTTGATAAGAGCCAAATTGATTGAAACTGTTGAAGTATAAGTGTGGAAACAATGAAAGGTTGATGACAGTAATCATAAAAATTCTCTGGTAGTCATAATCTTAGAATTATGCATGGACTTTAGGATATAACTCTAGTAGAGAACATCTGAATTTTAACAATTATTCAGCATTTGATGTTAGGCTCCTCTGTTCCTCAGTAAGCTAAATTCTTTGTCTTATCATGTTTTTTATTGCACAGTTTGTTGATGGTTTCAGATATTTTATTAATGGCGTTTTTAAATAATTTAATTATGAGTATAAACTGAAAAATGAATAGTATATAAAGCTCAATGTCTGTTTTAATGCTTCTCTTTTATGTTCTAAAATGCCTGTATTTTTTTTCAGTTCCACATACAATTGAATTTAATGATGCATTAGAGCAAATTAAAGAGAAACTTTCACTCCAATTACTGAGATTTCTTTCCATCTTTTCCACATATGTAGTTTCATAGATTTCTGAATTTAGGTTTAACCCACAAGCAAATTAATCACTGTGATATAATTTAGTCTAAACTTGCCTTATACAAATAATGCGTTCGCTAATACTATAGTGGCATTAAAATCTGTACAGATGTGGAGACTAACATTTCTATTAAGAAATTTTATTTTAGGTATAATTTTAAAAATAGATAACAGTGCCTAGATTAATTTTTTTATTTGACAAATTGCTAGAGTTGCTTTAGATTCTTTTTGCCTTTAATAACCAAATCTGTCCCCTGGATTTTGCCACTTGTTCCCATTTTGTGCCTTAAAAGACAGAGAAATGGGTGGAATGAGTGAGGATTTGAAA